TAACCATTCCTTTTGCATTGTATATTCTCAAGATTATTTCTACAATGATACTTTCAGGAGGGTTGATATGAAAACGTGGAAATCTGATCTCATTAGAGATCTGGAGGTACCTAGGGACACAAACTTTTGCAATTACATCTTTGAAAAGGTGTATGCTGCTACTATTAATAGGAGTTCATATTAATTTTAATCAAATGCATGGGATATTAATTTACATCTACTTAAAACCAGGATATAAAACACATGGGAAGACATTGTTTCAAAAGAGTTTATTTTTTAAGATATGGTAATTTTTGATAATGATAATTTATGAAAACACTAAAGTATCTGGGCAGCTAGCAATCTGAAAATGAAAGCAACCCCTTCCCTATTACTGACGTGCAGTTGTAATTCAAGTAATCTCCCAACATTTCTTCAACACAGTAAGAACAGCTTCTATTTACAGATCCACAGCTAAGTACCAAAACATCTTTCAATAAACCAGTTAGCTCCCAAGTTTCAGCAAGATCATTCTCACAGCGATCGGGCCAGCTCCAGCAACAAGCAGCTTCTCCTTCCAGAGGGGGAAGACATTCCCACTCACGTATGACAGACAACTCTCCCCTATCACCCCATACTTCAGCAAGCCCCAGCACACTGCTACATGCAGGGGTGCCCTAGAACCCCCAAAAGTACCTGCTCCTAGTAGCGCTGCACACTCCTAGCTAAGGCAGCACTGCCACGGCAATCACCTGTACAAATCTTTCCTCCTGCTTCCTGCTCCTCATATCCCAACTATCCCTGAACCTGAAGGAACAGCATGAGGCCCCGAGCGTACTTTGAGATTAAGCACAAAAACTCACAAAGGGCATTTTAGCTACACATTGTGAGCCAGGCTAGCATTTCTATCTCATGGAGAGATGCTTTTTGTTTGCAAAATGATGTTTGTTGTCTGCATCTATCTAAAGCATTCTTTTAAGAAGGGTGTTTTTCCATAAAAGAAGTCTCAGTTGACATACAAATGTCACTGAATCAAAAATAAAAATCATATCCTATCTAACAAGAGATAAGCAAGGAAAGCAAAGCTTTTCACAGAAAAAAAAATTAGGACAGTGAATATAGACAAAGAATTTGAGATAATTGGAAGCAGTCATTTTCACCGACTCTGGCTTTACACTTTTTCATTACACAGAAACAAGATGATGTATTTAAAATGCAGTACATCAACTACTATAGGGCTAACAGACATTCGAGCACTCATATTTCATATGTGCATCATCCAATTAAAAAGTGAGTATTTCAGAAAATCACTATGTCTTAGTCTCAAAAGTATAATCACTTTGCTTTCCTCAATTTGTCCTCTGTTTTTTTTTTAGATAGCAATGAATAGAATGAATATGCAAAGAAAATAAGAATGCTGTGAAATTTAACAATAAAACAGCAGAAGGAAATTTGCTAACTTTCTAAGCAACTACGCTGTTGAAAACAATGCCATCATTTCAACAGTAAGCTTTGAAGTTTCATTTTGTTCTCTCAGACCAGATGTGAAAATTCCACAAATACCAAAAACATCAAAATAAGACGTTTTAAAGATAAGCAAAATTTGCTTTTCTTCCAAAACATACAACATACATTTAAAATTACATACAAGGATATTTTAGCCAAACCAGTTACTAAAACAAACAATCAGCCATGGCAGAACTTGACGTTTCCCAGTTCTCAAGACCAGACTTGCTAAAGCCCCGGACGCTGCGGCCCCCAGCAGCAGCGCTAACCGCCCGCTGACCTCAACAAGACGGCGTAAGACTGCCACCGTGTGAAAAGGGGACAAAAATCAACTGTCTGACCCCAGAGACTACAGAATACTTGTTCCTACAATATTTTTAACAGAAGCAATCCATCTGATGTATCTACTCAAAAAAAAAAAAAAAAAGTAACAGCTAAAAAATATTTCAGCACGCACATATTGCTTATAGTGTAAAATTTATGATAATTTTGAACATGTGTTGTCAAAGAACTTAAAAGGAACAAAATACAGAATGCTCACAAATAACGGAAAATACAGTTCTCAGTATATAGGATTATCAAATCGAAATAACCACCTATTTTTAACTAAAAGAAAAAAAACAATGTGTTCAATTGTTTGCCTTTTTTTTTTTCCCACCTCAAAACAATTCAGCCATGCTGTGGCTGTTCAGCTATTTTTATTATTCTGCCAGTTACTGAAAAATCACCATCTTCTCTCTGAGAAAAACTGAACCTGAGCCTTTATTTTTAAACAGCAATTATAAAAACATTAGCTACGCTAGTTTTCTTTTCATCTTGAACATTTCAACAAATTAGTGTGATATTTTTCTAAATGGATAGCTGATTAATAAAATTTACAATAAGTTATCATTTCAATGCTGTTGTAAGTAATTTCATTGCCAAATGACACCTGCTGAGGAATTAATCTAAAGTAAGCAATTATGGTTCTACTGGAACTAGAAGACCTTGGCAACATAAACCAGGATAAACACAGTCCTTTCTGCTTGTCTTTAAGACAAATAGCTAATTAATTATGAACAACTACAATAGAACTATTTCAAGAGCAGAATACTAAAAGTGCTTTTCCAAAAGGTACTTGCTCCAAGATTATAAAGTATGTTTAACTAATTCTTATATCTAAACAATGCTACTGCTACTGATATTTCTCAAATTTCTAAGAGATGTTGATGGAATTTGAGACCTTGCTTTATGACTAATTATGACTAATTACAACCATCTTGACGTCTGAGACTGAATCAGGCTAACATTGAATATTACTTGCAAACTCCCCGTGGCTCATCAGCAAAAGTGAAAACATAGCTTTACTCTAAAAATAAATTACCCTTTCCTGTTTTAGTAATTCATGGACTTTCCTCTTTAATTTAAACTTTTATCAACTCAGACTGCTTTTGAATTAATAAAATACATTGAGAATAATTGTATAAAATATATAAGTATACTGATAAATCCTGTGATAAATGTTATGCCACCTTATAATATTGATTAAAAAAAACGCCAACAGTTCACAGACATCTCTCTACATGTAATTTTTCTAGTGTCTTGTGATGTGGAGCACATTGGAAGGTACTGTGCTCTAAACTTCGGCAGACTTTTTGCATTCACTTCTCTTTATGGAAGAAATGCATCAAAATTGTATATATATTTAAACTTGGTTCTTTTCACTTGAAGTATGGCTGCTATCTCTGTTAATAAGTAGGAAGCATAAACACTGTTTCTTAACAGTGTTGACAATTGAAGGCATTCAGATACCAGGATCAATTGACATCCTGGACAAAACAAAACACCTGTGGACTATGTAAGCACAGGAATTTTTGCATCTTGTCAAGCAAATGGACATCTGCTCCCCTACATAAAGCCAGAAAAAAAACCCAGATCTAGAAGACAGTTCAGAACTCTAGCCAGAGCCCTGTCCCTTCCCATATTACCATTCCAACTCACTAAGTACTAAAATTTGAGGACACAAATGAAGTTGTACTAAAACACGCATATGCTCTTTACTTTGTTTACATTTTTACTGGCATGGTATAGAAAAACAAAATAACAAAATTGGAAGCAGAAGGCCTGCCAGTCCCCCCCAAATTTGTCATACTAAAATCACAACACAAGACAACATCCTGGACTCTGCAAGAACCATGCTGGATTCTTGAAAAGCAATGCATTTCGGGTTTCTCTTGCCCCTTCAACTTATACATAAGCAAATAGGGAGTAACCAAAAATGGCGTTCCTTATTGTACATACATTATCAACAAACGACCATACTGGCAACAGGCCAAGCAGCAAACAGTGACCTGGCAAATGTCTTAAAATCAATACAAATAAACCTACTCATTGAACAGTGGCTTTAAGGTTTCCTTAGAAAAAACAGGGTTGCAAAAACATTGGACAGGAGAATCTGAGTTAACCACACCCTTCACAGTGTCAGTACAGGGAAGGGACCAGAGCCAGGACATTGATCTGCATATCGTAAAAGAAAAACATAACAGTACTGACCTTTTGAGAAACAATTTCATTTCAGAGTGACTGGAGTGGCAATAATATGGTATGTTTGCATAGATTTGGCTGCAGTATTTTCATTACAGAGTACAAAAGAACTTAAAGATGCTACAGAGTATGTGAAGTTCTGGATCCCTATGCCACGTAATTTAGTTCTATTTATAAAACTGCTTAGCAGTTAACTTTAAGCGACAAGTATTTTTGAGTCTAATTAAACTCATTTACTGACAGGAACCATTATAGCCTTCTTTTATTCTGATGACAATGCACTAGATGCTTTTAAAAAATAGATATATATACATACATTGTATTTTACCTTTGTAAAACAAAATACATACTCCCTAGTTCCACTAAGTTTGCATATATATGAAAAACATTTAAAAGAACAATTCAGTAATGCCAGTAGTATTTCTTTAAGATTACACGTCAAAGATCTTAGAAACACTCAGTTCAACTTGGGAGCGCACTTGTATCCTACATCAATACAAACCTGTTAACATAGAACCGCAGGACATAAAAGCCCGATTATTCAGCAGGGTATTCATTAGACCGCATTCCCCTGTGTAATGACACATTTCAGTCTGACATACATAAATTACTCCCTTTCTAATAGGTCACATTATCAACTGCAATTTATCTTTTGTTGTACAATAACATTTATTCCCCCAAAGAAGGTAGATGTACATAGCCTCCACTATATTTTCTAAATATCAGTTTGAAATAAAATTCTCAAAATGCTCTAATGATTTAAGAGCCTACACTCTGTTTGCAAAACTAATGTAAGCATTTATTGACAAAAAAATCATGAAAATTCAGTGGGATGTAGGAGGTTTTGAAAACACTATACTTTAGCAGTGGTTCATACCTTGACCGCTAGCAAACCTAGATGGAAATGGCCTGATCCAAGGAGTAAATATGCACCCAGAGGTAAAAAAAAGGTTACATATTTTGTTCTAAAAATAAACCTCTGAAACATAAATTGTCATACCTTCAAGGGCATATTATATAATATTTTATTATAATGAAAAATGACTGTAAACATCTCTCTTATTTCACATTAATTACAGAAAGGTGTTCTCAAATTTCCCCTCATATTGAATTTGTTAATTCCAGGAGCTCATAAATTCAATATATGGAGTATCTTCACATTACAACAAATCAGATCACATGTTCAGTTCCAAGAAATAAGCAACAGCTTACTTCCCCAATTCCAACTGGGGAAAAAAGTCCTTACATAATGCAAAACATTGCTTCAGCCAGAGTCCACAGTCCTGAAACAGAACTGGGTTTTCCTAAGGGTATGAAAGTACCAAAAAAAACCAACAAAAAAAAAGTCACCACATAAACCTCTGGATTTCATCACTATTTGGCCATTGGAATGTTCTGTTTAGAAAAAGATAAAAAGTTACAGCATTCACAACAATATAAAAAGCCAGCTCCAAAAGTTGTCTATATAAAGACAGAAATGGAATATTGAGCCTATATATTAAGAATGGCAAAATAAAGTAACGAAATTCTAGCAATTTTTGAGGAACTGTGACTGCTAATAAACATATAAAATACATTAAGATCCAGAAGATCGATTTTGATTTTAGTGTATCAGCAAAACTCCAGCCAGCAAATATGTAGACTGGAACTAATGCATATTTTACAAGCTCGTGTCTTTGGAAGACTTTTCTCCAGACATAGAATGTGTAATGTCTGTTGTCTCCTAGTAAATACTTATGAACATATGTAAATTTCCAGATCAGGAATAAAGAGATGACAGCAATTAAGCTGTACTGCACAGGGTGCTTTTGTAATGATTTTTTTTTGATTTTAGTAGGGGTCAATAAATGAGGGAATGAAAAAAAGACAGTAAAGGACAGAAAATAGAACAGCTGAGGAAAGTGCAAACAGGCTTCATGGCTACTTCTGTCACCAACAACTATTCCCCCATTGATGAAGATGAAAACAAAGAACACAGTTACTAATATGATGTACGGCCAAGTTAAAGCAGTAAGTGAAACTAAGTTTTTAGGTGACATGACATATTCAATAAGAAACTGCAATATTCTGATCAAATCTGAAAATGATCCTTTCCTGGAAGAAATCTTTTCATCTTTCTTTTTCTGTAACTCTGTCTTCCAGGCTTCATTTAGCTTCTCTGCAACAACATTTCCAGCACAAAAAACCGTCCACACAATATTGGTCTGACGAAACATGAAGCCACAAAATCCAAGAAGAGCTGAAGTTTTATGGTTACCATAAAGGCACATTAAGTAGGCAAATAGAGTGAAAAATACTGATCCTGGGTCTGTATAATAAAGGAATGTAAAAAAATAAAGGGTGGGAAACATTGCAAGAGTTAATGTAGACAAGATTCTCTGGAAACCAGACACAGCCTAGAGAAGAAGCAGAAAAATGTGGTTAGCAATGTCCAATACAAATAAAATTAAAAAAAAAAATAAAACAGAGAGTATCATTCTTGAGAATTCCATTAACACAATATAACATCTCTCATGCTCATTGGTTCCATTACTGCACAAGCACGCATACTATATTTTTGATAACCTCCTGCTATGTTAATGCAGTGTTGGACTATACAAGGTTAAAAGACAAACAAAAGTACAAAACATTATCACAGGTGAGTTAAAAATACGGCAATGAAAATATACAAACTTCTTTCATATGTCAGGTGTTCACATATTTGTGGCATTAAAATAATTGTGGGAGTATAATTGGTCCCACACCTAGGACAAAAGAGCTGCAATAATGGGCAAAAGAAAATTAAAAAAAATATTCAGCATTTTATGCCCCTGCAATCTCATGATCACATTCTGTTTATTTGTGAGACAGCAGAACACATCATTCTACGCTTATACTATTGCCTCTTTTGAAGCCAGTCCACAGAACGGCCAGCTCCAGGTTTCTAATCATGGGTGCAGCTTTTATTGTTTATCTTCATTATAATTCATGAGTTAGAAAAGAAACTTCAAAGAAGGTAGGAGATCATGCAGTTAAAAACTCCTCCCAATTATCCCACTCACTATGTGATACAATGCAATTCACAACATTAAAAACTGTTGCATGATGTTTCTGAATGATGTAGCTTGGGATGAAACAGCCAGTCACCACCTTACAGAAAAGATGAATAGAGAAATTGCTGAGTTCAAACAAGTGCCAACAATACAACTACATTTTCTAATGCTTAGACTACTGTCATGAAACCTTTCGTTTTCTTACACTTACAGTTCCACCTCCAAGCATAAAATTAAGTGTTCCAAAAAGTGGAAACAATTTATTGAATTTGACCCAATTCTATTTAGTCTTATCATGTGCTTAAACATGAAGAGTCTCCTGTAAGAAAATACATCAGAAGAAATTTTCTTTATAGTAAAGGAATCCTTCGGTTATTGGGGAACAGGAAAAAATGTTCCTGTGGTTAAAAGTGAAACTAAAGAACTTCACTAAGTTGAAAGATTTTGAATATGCCATTAACCACCAGAACAATTTACCTACTGCAGTGGTGGATCCTCCACCACTTTAAAGATAAAATATTCTTGTACCCAAGTTGAACTATTATGGTTTGGATGGGTGGACAGCTAGACCGGTAAAAACCGGCTGGATGGTTAACTGGTCACACTCTATCGAAAGGTGAGTGTTACAACTAGAGTATCACAGGGATCTACACTGGAACCTCTCCTGTTTAACATCTTTATCGATGACTTGAAGGCAGCAAGAGTACACTCTTACCAAGTCTGCAGCAGACACTAAACTGAGGGGACCAGGCAATATGCTGAAGAGTAGAGTTGCCACCCAGAGTAACCTAGACAGGCTGGAGGAACAGGGTGACAGAAATATTATGAAATTCAACAAGGACAAATGGAAATCCCTGCACTTAGAAAGGAAGAAATCCCCACAATGATACAGGCTGGGCACGGAGTAGCTGAGGAGCACTAAGGAACAGCAACAGCCTCCTGAGCTGCATTAACAAGAGCATAGCAGCAGATCAAGGGAAACACTTATCCCTCTTCACTCTTTTTGTTAGGCTGCACCTCGAACACCATGATCAATTTTGTGCTCTGTGATACAAAAAGGCACTAGTAAACTGGAGCAATGGCAGAGGGCCACCAAGACAGTTGAGGGCTGAAGCACTTGCCTTGAAAGTAGAGGCTGAGGGAACTGGCCTTAGAATCATAGAATTATTTAGGTTGGAAAGGACCTTTAAGATCATCAAGTCCAACCATAAACCTAGCATGGCCAAGACCACCACTAAACTATGTCCGTAAGCACTACATCTGCACGTCTTTTAAATGTCTCCAGGGATTCTGACTCTACCACTTCCCTGGGCAGCCTGTTCCAATGCTTGACAATGCTTTTGGGGAAGAAACTCTTCCTAATATCCAATCTAAACCTCCCCTGGCACAACCTGAGGCCATTTCCTCTTGTCCTATTGCTTGTTACCTGGGAGATGAGACCAAGCCCCACCTGGCTACAACCTCCTTTCAGGTCGTTGTAGAGAGCAATCAGATCTCCCCTCAACCTCCTTTTCTCCAGGCTAAACAACCCCAGTTCCCTCAGCCGCTCCTCATCAGACTTGCGCTCCAGACCCTTCACCACCTTCATTGCCCTTCTTTGGCCACGGGTGTTCAGCCTGGAAGGTAGATGGCTTGGGGGGACTGAACAGCAGCCTACTAATACCTGCAAGGATGTCAACAGCTAAAGGGAACCAGGCTCCTTGAAGTGGTACATGGTGGGAGGACAAGAGACAACAGTTATAAACTAAAAAGACAGGTTCAGACTAGATGTAAGAAAAACGTTCTTCAACATAAGGCCAGTCAGGCATGGAGCAGGTTGCCCAGAGAAGCTGTGCAGTCACTCTCCATCCTTGGAGAGTTTTCCAGGCCCCAATCCTGAGCAACGTGGCCTGATCTCAAGGTTGGCCAGCTTTGAGCTGGAGGTGGACATCCTAAGGTCCCTTCCAACCTGAATAAGTCTCCAATTTTTTCCAACTTGAATTATTCTCCAGTTCTAAATATTGACATTAAACCTGGTACCTTTCTAAAGAACACATTTTAGTTTAAACGCAGCTTCAGGGCTTCACTCAGGATTCACTGGTTGAAGTTTTGTGGAGAGTCTTAAGCAATTCCAACTAGAAGAGCACTCAGACCTCTGGATAGTAAGTCTATATGCATACTAACTTTAACTTTTGTTTCAGTGGGACTACTTATAGTTATGCACAAGAGTAAATTTTAGAGGACTGCACCCTGAGAGAGAAAAAAAGGTACTAAAAAAATTTAGAGAAAATGAATGTACCTCCTTGGCCAGACTGGTAGTAGTACTTGCAGTTATATAAAACCCAGGACAGCTCACATATGTAGTGAAGTGAACATACACTAAGCCACCAAAACTGTACAAACGTGTAAAATTATTCCACTTTGACTGTACCTTATTCTTCTGATGGATCTTGGACAGAAGTAAATACAGTAAATAGAAGTTCCCAGCACTGAAAAGAAGGTTAATAAACCTGAGCATTGCCGCAGAGCACACCATGCTTCCCGTCCACCCGAAGAGCCACGCCGCAGGCTTCACTGCTCCCACCGAGACCAGGTACAAGCCGGGCAGCGTGGTGATCATGGGGTCCCACTGGAAAGTGCAAAGAGAAACAGCGTTACAGAGCTGCTACCACACAAAAAGTGGATCAGACGTGCGACGGGTTACAATATATCATCCCCACCCATGCACACTTTTGGTTAGCTTGAATGTTCAGTGAATTTATGGCATCATTAGACTGAAATTTTTGAACACTTTGTGTCCTGCTCAGTGCATTACCGCACCACCAATTAACAGAAGGCACAAACCTGCATTTTGGACACCCACGACCACAAATTATTCCCTTTCCAAGGCGCCCCCGGTATGTTTATAGAAATCATCGATCCTGACGGGAAAACACGAGCCGGGACAGCTCCCGGGCAGCACCTGGAG